TCTCTCTCTCTCTCTCTCTCTCTCTCTCTCTCTCTCTCTCTCTCCGTTTTTCGTAGCGTGAAAGATCTATCGCGAGAGCTCAAGAAAATAATTACTGTTTATTTACCCAGCACCGACCAAAGATCGCGGAATCGCGCTCGGTTTGCCAAAACGGAAAATACTCCCGCGGGTTTACCAGTCTTCCGAAACGTCATCGGTTCCGTCAGAATCCGCGAAAGACGTTGAAATGAGTTACGACGAGCAGGTGAACATTACAAAATTTTCTCTAGCTGTATATCACATAGAAGAATAATATCGAGATTTTCCAAAATTGTACACCAACTGTTCGAGATCTGCTTGGTAAGATTTTTTTCCGACACAATTCGTAGAATTTGCTGGAAAAAAAAGGCGGATTTACGTAGTACCAAAGATATGATTGAGAAGAATCGAATTACGGATCAAGCTAAAACATGAAAATGTTGAGACAGGCACGATTCAGCCAGCGAATGTGTGACCTGATTCGCTTCTCATGGCTTCATCTCTCGCGAGAACAGCGCAAACGCGTCGTAGACGACGATCAGCTGGCCAATGTTGACATTATGCGAGCTCGGAGTTGAACAACAATCTTGAATATTGAACAGAATCGGCGAGTCAGACCGGATCAGATCGGCACACGAGTCACACTTGTTGATGAAACACAAACGTAATCTCGCGGATTGATTAGCGGATGTGCGAAGTTCCACGAGCACGGTCGACCATTCACGAGGTTTTCTCTATTGATTACCGAAAGGCGCTCCAGTTCAAACTGGTCCAAACTAGTAGATACACGCTGTTTATCCTACAAGAGATGCAAGTTTTTTAATTGACCAAAGAGAAAGAATCTTTTTTTTATATTAATTTATATTAATATTTTACGATAAGTTCTCACACAGGCTATAATTTAATCCACTGGCCAGCATCTGTTTGTTGTTGCGTTAACTTGCTTCGTCGTAAGCGAAGTACACGACATCGTGTAAATTACTGTCTGTTTTGATATGAGAGAAAAGAGTATTGATAAGCGTTGTATGTAAATTACCATGTAAATTGCGGTTTCGCAGCACAGCCTTCGCTTCTAGATTCCTCGCTCGTAACGCCGCTAACCTTACTCGGTGACAATGAGGAAACTTGGAAAATCATTGATAAACTGCACGCAGCACTGCGTTATTTAAATACAAAATAGACAAGTCTTTCGAGTCTTAAGAATTGCGCAGGCACAATAAAATTGAGATTTTGAGTTTTATATGAAACGTAACGATTCGTTATGGTATAATCTGACATTTGTGACAAATGACATGGATTATCGGGTTTGAGGGTTAATTTCGACCGTCAAGGGAGAAGAAGAAGAAGAAGAAAAACATTCGATTAGATTGATCGCGCGTTCATTTAATATCCATTATCCATTTTTCTCAATCAACGGCAATTTATCATGACCGTCAGATTTCACCATTGAATTTTTATCCCTTCTCACCAGGACTCCTAGCGTTATCGGCGATCCTCGTCGGGATCGCCGCATATATGCGTCGACGAAATTGCATGTTAACGTCATTTGGCCGGGCATTATACGTTTATCTGATCAAGACGCTTGATATAAACGCCGAATTGTAGCGTTGCTAAATTTCAGCCGCCAAATCATCAAGGTGACCGTCGTTGCTCGACGGCGAGACACCCACGCTCGAACATCACGTTTCTTTCACGGTGCTAACAATCGTCGGATCGACAGCGTGGATCGATAAAATAAGGCGGCACAGAGGAAGACGTATCGTCGAGAGACATTAGAAATTCAAATCCAACTTCGCTCGCGAAGAACGAACGCTTGGTCCGAAACCACACCTCTTATTCATAACCCAAGCGGAAGATCGTGCCGATCTTAACCGGTTCACGCGACCGCGTGCACTTAAATCGCTCCAAGATCCATCCGTGAAGTACTCACGCTATCCGGTTCTTCACTCGCACGCACATCGACTTCCCCTTCATCGTCCTTCGCAAATCATCGCGGGAAGGACGTTTAGGGTTGCGCGGCGATCGATACGTGGCGGACTTTATTGGCCGCTGCAATCTCGCGCGATCCACTCTCTCGTGGAATTTTACTTTTACGAGTTTCACGAGTCTTATCGTGCCGTAGTAGTCGCGCACGTAGAGGTTCCCCGGATAGGACGAGCACGTAAGATAGTCGTCACGAAGCGAATCCTCCCTGTCCCTCCAGTTCTGGCTCAAAGTACAACGGCGCCCTGATGGCGAGCCTTCAAAATATTTCTCCCTTCCCCGGAGAAATCGGGAAAGGCGGAAGCAAACGCGAATATAAGAATGCCTTTAAATCTCGTTTGCATTACGTTTGTGTATATTTTAATCGTTGTGAGAGAACCAGATAATAACAAGCTCGTAAGTTTACGATCAAGGATATCAGCAATCATCGAGATACAATTCGACCGCTGGAGCGCTGGTTTTGATCACCCCTGAGGCCGATATTGAATATCGAGTCCTGTCTGTGATCGCGCTGTGAGTTCCGTGTTAAAAGGAGAGAAAAAAAAAGGAGAGGAAGAGAAAGAATAGTAGTACGTCGTAATTTTGCTTGGTCGGGCGATCGGGAGAGGAGACGATACAACGAGTAAACGTTTCATAGGAGTAAAAAAAAGAGCCGCGGATGATGTTCGACGGGGTGGGGCTTTGCTCTCCAGCCTGAGAATATATAAATCGCAGGTAGGGCTGAAATTCAAGTTAGTACGAATACGATCTGAGACTATCGGCAACCTGCGGAGACAAGCGATGCGGGTGAGTCTGCCGGTGATTCATTGCTCGTGTGCAACCGCTGTTATTGTTACACTGCATACTTCATTTACTTGCATATTGTTCGTCTAAAGCGGCGCCGACTCGACATTAAAATGATTAAAGCAATCTCATTTCTATCATTTCTCCGAAACGATATTATTAATTTTTAAGATTCCCTTCACAATACACATATACTTACCGTTATTCCACTTTAAGATGTGAAATATTGTGTATGTGTATTTTACATTAGAAAATTTTTAAATAAAATTTTTATTATATATTATTAGCGTAAAAATTGTTGGTTGGTTATATACAAGTAAGTCGAAATATAATAACGTGGAATATATTAATAGAACATTGTTTTACATACATACCGCTGACATCCGTGATGTTTTCGCGAAAGGTAATTTCATCTTGTTTGCAACTCGGCGATCGTTTGCATGCAACACACGAAATCCGACGGGCACAACGTCACAAACATCATTTCCAAAAGTTATGCGCGCTGCGCATATTCCTACGCTTATGTTTTCGAGAAATAATAAAACAAGCACATGTATGAAGATAGATCGATCCTAGATTAAAAATGTCATGAACATAGAAGCGCTGCTAACTCTTTATATTTTCCAAATTGCCAATTGCAAACTGCAAATTGAATAATGAATGTACTAATTTAAATCTTTTCACAGAGTTCAACATCGTTCACAGTTTTCTTGATGATAATTGGAACGGCGGTATCGAAACCGTTATGGTCGACTTTAGTGGGCACTAATTATCTATATTCCACGCCCGGAATCAGCGCACAGCCGCAATATCTCGCCGCATATCAAAATACGCACTCTCCCTATTACATTTACAATGTAAGACAATATTCGTAAGAAATATTAGAAAGCTGCCACGTGAATATTATCTATAACGTTACACATCTTTCTAGGTTTATTCGAATGCGGGAGGCGTATCAAGCACTCTTCATGTTAGCGGTAAACCAGAGGTTTCTCACATTCCAGCTTACAGTATCTACTACGGAACGCCGATTTACGATATCAGGATTCCTTTAAATCCGGTAATTATATAATTTAAAAAAGAGCATTCAAATTGTGTGTGTGTGTGTGTGTGTGTGTGTGTGTGTGTGTGTGTCGTATTATTACAAATAAATTGGAATGAATTTTAGCATATCATTTTGTCATTTCAGATTTATCCTGTGCTGACACCATCGCATCCGGGGGTTTCTCCGGTATTTCCGCCGACATCAACGGAATCTTTCGACGAAGCCGATTACGACGGCATTGAGAAATTAGACACAAAAATTGATCCAGATACAGAGACAAAGAAGCCGGAAAATAACGATAATGATTCCATAACTGTAGAAGCTATATGAGATCATTTTCCTCGTCACGTACATTTATAGACATTTAGAAAGAATATAATAAAAATATGATAACCGCTTCTTTAGTTCGCTTCTTTAACGTTATTTTTTTATATATAAATGATGTTATGATATGTAAAAATATTAAAAATGTTTTTTTTTTTCAATCAAATTTTTATTAAAAAAGAAAAAGAAAAATGTATTGTTATATTTTATATGTAAGAGAAAGGTGCGACGTTTGTAATAAAACTGAGATTTTGATATGTTTTATTTTATTTATCGTATAGCGTTTCAGCGTTGTGTTTTAAATCGCCATTCGGAAATTGATTAAAGCAGTTTAAATTTATTAAACGTCCGTCGATTTTTCATCGCGCGTAGTATCAGAAAAGCTATTTATTAAATCGACAGAGTTCGACCGATTTGATATCGCCCTGCAAGAGCAGAATAGCGAAGTTAGAGTAAGTTAGTGTTGATAAATCGATCGAGCAAAAGAAACGCCGAGGTCTCTCACCCCGAGAATCTCAGATAAAATGGGGTCAAAGATGCGGAGACGGAGACGTCTTTGAAAGCATCAGTGCATCGATTTCCTCGGAACGCGCACGTCGACGTCGACGTCACGAAAATGATTGTTCGCCATGGAACGTTATGGGCGATCGTTATGGTGCTCGTTCTTCTCGTATCGCTCTCGTCGTCCGTGAAGCTACGGAAGCCACGAAAAAGACTTACGGCCACGAGAATCCCGTATCAACAGTCTAGAATCGAACCGGTGATCATAAGGGTGATGCACAAATACCCCGACGGCGGTTTCCACGTCGGTTGCACCAAGGGCAAGTGCAGAATCGCGCACGACAAGCATAATGTCGACGTTAACAAAGCGATATCCGAGGAAGACGGTTCCCTCTCCGACAAGGAAGCGTTGCGTTACGTCGTCCATCCGAAGGAATACGAGCATTTCGTATTGAAGAAAAATACAGGACACGGGAGCAGATACAAGAGGGACTCTGCATTTCCGGGATCGCATACGTTAAATGCGGAAAATGACGTCGCGATCGCCGGTGTGACCGATGCAAATCGAACCTCGGCGAACGGGAATACCACGGGTCTCGTGAGAGTCCCGCTATACAGAGTCGACAAGTATAGAAGAGTTAATCCCACGCACAGAACGAAAAGAAGCCTAGCCGCCGACTATTTTACACGAAGAAACGACAGCTATTATTATGCGCAGCGGAAAGCCGTTATGGACAGATATTACGCTCGGCAGCGTGAGATAAATGCGCGATATGTCAATCGAACGGGTGGCATTCCGCGACCGGAACGCAACGACGTGTCGCGGCATCGTCCGGTGATGAGCAACGCCAGCCTCTTCGAATTTGGATACGCCAACGAGTACGCCAACAAGGACCCGGCGACGCGGGACAGCGGGACTTTTCGTTATTCGTTCGTAAAACTCGATCCGGTATACAGCAACGAGTCGCAACGGTACAACGGAAAGTCGGCCGAATTGGCCAGTCGGCGAAACGTCGCTCCGGAGATCAATCTCGATTTCAAGTCCGACGCGGACGTGCCGCAAAGCACGAGAAGCAGCAACAACGACATCGAAAGAAACGCGTTGGATCTTTTCGTTACGCCTACGCCATGCACGAGCATATCTTTGTCTGGCACTTTCGCACCGAAAACGCGATCCAAGAACGCCGAGAATTGCACCCAGACAGAGCAACGGAGCAACGAAGACCTTGATTACAATTCGACAGATAGTGTAAGTTAATAACTGCAATGACGAGTCTCTCTCTAATATTTCGATTTTTCACACTTTCTTGCACGATGGTTTAACTGATGAACATTATGTGTCGTACGGACTGCGGACTTTTATTTTGTAGGATAATAGCGAAGGCAGACAAAGATGGGGAAGGTGCAAAGGGGAAATCGTGTATCAGCACAACCTGCTTCTAGGATTAACGGGTCCCTCGAATCTCAACGCTTTGTTCGAGGTGATCATTCAGGGTCCCGTCTGCATCACCTGCGTGGAGACGTTGCGATATAACGAAACGAGAGCGACTGTCACGTTGGATTCCGGTGGACGTGGCCACGATTACGCCAAACTCAGACTACAGGGATACGAGAACGAGGGATTCTCCTACATAATAAAAGTTTGGGGCGTCAAGAAAATCAGTCAGGTTTGCGACAACGTAGACTAATCGGAAGGTATAAATAAGCTGCGAAAATAAGTGAACCAAGTAATACTACCAGTTATTCACGTATAAAAAGTCTTTAATGTAAAAATTAAGTATCTTTTCTATAAATATATTGATATGTAGCATTTAACGTTATTTTAGTCTTACTATATGATACTAAGTGAGTCGCATCGCAAGCTATATAAAACAGAAAAACAAATTAACACATATGTAAAATACATCACAAAAGTTCAAAACTGTCTCCATGAAAAATATCAAACGAATTGTAAAAGTAATTCGATTTTCTCTTTTGATTCGGCATCAGTCTAAGTCAGTAGTAAAAACAAAACTTTTTTTTAACATTGTCGAGCTGCAGCGTCATACATATTGAATATTATATACTCAAGTAATCGCAATTAAAGTTCAAATGTACTGCCAATCGATTGCAGAACTGCGTCAACGAGCAGTCGATTATTTTTCAACGTACAAACAATAAAGGCTTTTTATGGCTGATAAAATATTTTCCAAAAAGATTAAAGAAGAAGAAAAGATTAAACAAAAAATTTTGACTTATCGATTCTGCGCTTGCAACGTAAGAGAAAAAAAATCCACAAGACTTCCTTCTTCGCCTATCGATTACAATTCAATTCAATTCGATATACCACCTTCCACCTTACAAGACTCAAGATCTCTTCGGTATGGAGGTCGGCGGCGGTGGCGGCGGTACGTCCGGTATTTTTTCCCTGTCATTCTTCGTGTGGACTTTCCTCTCGTCGTGGAAGCTCGGTAATAGGTGCCCTGAATCCGCGTCCTTCGGCGTGGTAGCCGGGATGGGTTCCAGGGACTCGTAGGGCTGGTAATCGATGTAATAAGTGCCGGGCACGAGATGCGGATTGTAGCCGTTGTACGTGTAGATGTACGGCTCATAGTAGAAAGAATGATAGTTCGGGTAGAAGCTCAACGGCTCTTGCTCTTCTTTCCTCTTTGCGGAATTCCTCCTATCGTCGCTCTTCGGGTCGTTCCCCTTCGTATGATCGATCGCGCCTTTGCGGCCCTTCGCGATACCAAAGCTCGTAGATTCGGCCAGGTGTGACGTGGAGGAGGAGGAGGAGGAGGAGGAGGCCTGCGCCTGGTCGGTGTGTGACGAATAATGCACCACTTCCGGTCCGGCGAAGTGAGGCGCTATCTGCGTGTAGTAGAATGGCGGCACATAACCAACGGCAGTTCGATGAATGACCGGTTGTATCACGGGGAATGCTCGTGACGGCGACAGATTCTGATTGCTCGTAATCACGGCGTTGTATACCTTCGGCACCTTGAGAAGACCCGGCGCGGCGACCGCAACGGTAATCACCATGTGTAAGATTAACAACTTCATCTAGAAAAGAAAATGTTTCCATTAATTCCGTTAAAATTTATTTTAACATCACAGATAGTTTATAATAAGGATTTACATAATACAAAATAATTGCAGGAGAATTACGACGAATATATTCGACTAAGAATTTAATTAGTTTTATTTTTTTATAACAAGACAATGATGAAAAATATGGAGCGGAAAAAAAGAACAGCGGAAAGAGAAAATGGGATTTGGAAGTGTAACTGACACCATTATTGTTTCTGGGAAGGTATAGTCGACATTGGTGGCGCAAGTATCTCGCGTATATTGAGCAAAACACCGCATACAAACGACCCGAAAGACACGTGCACGGAATGTTATCCCGGCCGTCTTTATAGGCGTGTACTCGAGATCGAATTATTGCGTTTGAATTCCTATCGTGTTTGAAATTCAAGCTTTCAGGGTAATAACTGGCGAAGCGTTACAAAGCCGCAGCGTATGCCAAATGACATCATATCTATTATCAGTAATAAAGAAAAGACAATTTTAAAGAATGATGATTAACATAAAAGAAAAATCCTTCCTCACTTTTAAAGTAATTTTTGATACAAAGATGTAAAAATAAGATTATTCTAAAAAGAAAATTGAAACAAAGAATCGAACATATCTAATTTTTAGTTTCTTTATTTTATATGTAACAAAAATATTTGATGAAAACGTCTGACATCCACATGCAGATTTGTATTCCATTTACATATTGAACCAACAATATATACTCAGATATTTCCTTCAGTTGTCAGGTACAGCCAGCGGGAAATGGACGTCAGAACGGAAAGAGTTGAAAGGCATAACTGAATTTTATCAATTTCACGACATGGCGAGCCTGCCATCTGAATAAGCGAGATCGCGAGAGGCGCGATGGCATTGCATCAATGAATCACTTCATCAGCATTCGCGGCTTCGCGGTGTCATTTGCACATATCACTTCCTATCTCCGACGGGCCTCACGGTCACGTTCACCTTGTCAAATTCCTTCGGTCGGTTTCGCCTTCGGTCGAACTATCATTGTAGTTACCGAAACAGCGCGCGGTTTGTCCGCGCACTTTGCGTTACTCACCTTCGCGTCGCGCTTCTTATCACCTTCTCTCCTCCGCGCGTTTCCTGCACAACGGGGAATCCGACGAGGAGCAGGCACCACAAGTAGCAAGAGCGCTGCAAGAGCCCGTAGTATATATGGGTCCATAGGGTTCCACCGGGGTTCAAGTCCTGCCTCCCCCACTACGGGCGACTCTCGGCGAAAGTACTCTCCGATCGCTACTATAATGTCCAACTTCGGGCCAGCCTATATCACCGGTAGAATTGTAGAAGGACAGCCATTTGTGATACGCCTCCTTCACCGATGCACACGCCGAGTGCAGCGTATGAACGAGCGATTCCTGGGTGGAAACGCGCATCCCCACACAGAGAGAGAGAGAGAGAGAGAGAGAAATCACTTTCGAAATCACGTACACCCCTGAATGATCCAATGCTTAAATAACAAATACGTTGTTCTTACGTAATTATGTCAAACGCATGATCTAATAGCTTTGATCCAGATTCTCCCGTCCCAGATTATATAGAAAAAAAATGATGAAACGGAACTTTAATCTATTTTAATTATGTAAAATTTTAGAGATTGCTATTATTGTTGGTACCGCTATAATATTTTCGATCGAGTTTACGCATGGACGAGTGGAAAAATAAGAAACTTTATATTTTGTACACAAGCCATTGTCAATCATTTCTGACATACGGGCCCAACGATTATCGAGATATTTAATCAGAAAACACGTGGTGGCACGTATTGGTGGATCATCCGCTTCTTTTTCCACGCGCCGCCAGTTACAAATTCATAAATAACCCGATAATAATGCGTCGATCTCTCGCCTCGTCGCACAAAGTAGTTCGCCTTGGCGTATCTCGTATCTCAATTCGCCTTCTAATTATGGGCCTTCGCGTTATAGTTGCCGCGTGCACTTGTCCCTGAAAGCAACGCGTGCGGAAATGTGACGTGTGACAAAAGACATATAGACGTGTAATGTTTGAAAAATACGCGATAAAATCGTGCCTCCCTGTGGCCCGCGCGGAGCGCACGAAGCACGATTTATTCTTATTCGCAGCTTTGCAATGCCGTTTACTCAGGCGTGACTATTATTAATGAATTATTCTTGAACGAAATTCAGTTTCTCTCTCTCTTAGGAAACTTTCGAATATACATCCGCGCGCGTCGTTTCTATTGAAAACAAAATTCCGCAATTCTGATTTCTCCCGTTTAATGAACGCACACCGTTACAGTTACCAACATACAGGCGCGCGACAAGACGTGCGACAAAGCGCTAGCTGCTGATTGCGAAATGGCTTTATGTAAATCCGCGCCGTAACATCTCCAAAACGGCAGATAGAATAGGAAGAGGCGTCTCAGCTGGAATTCAGCAACGTCGTTGTGCAGCGACGCTTGGTGAACGCGCTTGAACCTCGAGCACGCGCGAGTCTAGCACAATAATCATGACGCGTTGTTCCTCTACTCGATGAAGACAACTATGTTTTTTTTGCGCGTCTAATCACTTTGCGGTACACGTATCTATATCGATAAATCTCACGACGACCGCGACAGCGAGAGACGCCTTTCAACTCGATACGCACTCGCGGCATCCCACAACGCGACATGTGATTCGTAACGCATCCGAAGCGCATAGATATACCTAAGATTACGTGAGCGATTTGAAATTTCAGCAAACGAAATCGCCAAAGTTCGCGATCGCTCGAGCGTTCGCTTTGATTATCCTCGAGTGGCACGCAACGTATTATATTACGACTGCACGTTGCAGTTACGCGCTATCAGCCGCACGTCGCCGTGATAACGAACTTGATATAACGTAACTAATCACGTACACATCCGATAAATCGCCGATCGATAAATCGATCGACGATTTAACTTCGGTCAGATCGACTCGATCGGTATGTAACAGATTCGCCGCAGCAGCAAGATCGGGAAATTCGGAAGGAAGACGATCATCAGCAGCACCAACGGCGACAGCAGCAGCAGAATGTTGGCGTATACCACCAGCCACCAGATCGGCAACGTTCCCAGAACCGGCTCTAGCATTATGATCCTCGGCCGGTCAAGAGGTCGAGCGTACAAGCGTAAAAACACGAGTGAGGCACTCGCGAGCGTTCCGAGCTATCCGGTTTTAAGAAGGTAAAGCACTTTCCGATCATGCTCGGTCCCCCGTCGTCGGCTCGTACCGAAGGACACGCTGAAAGCAAAGAAAAACCTTTTTAAATACCCTTTAAACCCCTTTCTCCGATAACCGAGGCCTGTTTCCTTTCCGCTTGCGTTCGATTCATCTTACCTCTTTTCCATCTGTGTTGGAGAAAAATGGAAAAGAGATGAACCGAAGATGAGCTAAAAAGAACAGGCCTGATGTACGAAAGAAAGGTCCAAGGAACGATCAAAAATTCAAAAAAACTTAATAAGGGAACATTAAAGTTACACTTTTAAATGTTATACTTCATCGCTAATATAAATCATCAGTAAACATATAATCAGTCTCGATATTACGTAATTCGTCTCGAAATGTTTTCGCAGTACATTATAATGTTTGTGTGGCAATTAATTCAGACTGTGTCTGTGTATGTTTGTAAAGCAAATTAAAATGCGCGATAATCGTACGTATTGGTACGTTACTGAATTATCTAACACGGCAGAAAATGATGTGCCAGTTGTTACGTCAATTCCGAGTGCACTACTTATCGATTGCTAATTATACAAGAAACTCGCAGGTTGCTCGTAATGATTGCGTAACGGTGTTAAAATTATTCGACAAAATGTTAAACACACCTGTTCCGCAAATTGACCTGTCCTCAAATTCTTTTTGAAAGAATAAGGATCTATCAATATTTATCTATTTATTTTTCAACATTAATTTCGAAACTTTCGAAACGAAATCAAGTAGATGTAAATTGACAATGAAGTGACGTCTTAAAGAATTATTATATGATATAATAATATTTAATGATGTCGCACGAATTCATGAGACAGGTCTGCTCTTTCCTCTTAAAGTTCGTGACTTCTATTTCTCTCTTTTGCACACTGGTTCTGTCGAAACTATGCAATTCTGTCCTTGTATTAAAGATATTAGATTTATCTCGTAACAGATTGGGTAAGCCTGAGAATGTGAAATCAAAGAAGGTAAAA